AGCTTGGTTTATTTAAAAATTGACTTAATATCAAACAATATTGGCATTTTCCAGATGGGAAATAAATTATGTTCCAGATTTTTTTTTTTTTTTTTTTACCAGAATTGGTACTTCAATAAAATTTTAACAAATCCCAGGGATGAGGATGTAGTATTGTTGTAGGGCACCCGTCTAACATGCAGGAAGCCCTGGGTTTGACCCCAGCACATAAAAAAAAAAAAGTTTACAGATGAAAACTTCAAAAACAAAAGTAAAACCTAAGAATAGCCTCATTGTCAGAGTACTTTAAAGCAAAGACATTCAGCTCCCCACCCATTCTAGGTGTTTATCTTAATGAGATGAAATGTTTTATTTCTTCTAATCCTTAATCTTTAGTTTTAGCTGAAAAAGTTTACAGAAAAATATAAAAACATAATTAGAAATCAAGTATCCATTACTTACATTTATGTCATCATTCAGTTTATTATGTTAATTAGATTTTAAAAATTTGCTTACTTTGCCCATTTTCATAACATGCATTAACTTAATATTGCATGATGTCAGTCCCTTTTCTAGAACATAGGATTAAAATTAATGATTACTGGTATCCATGCTGAATAATTTGGAAGTAATATGTATGAGCCTTCTGGATAGAATTTACCATATGAAAATTATTTTCCTAAATTCACATGGTTTTAGCCAGGCATGGTGTGCACACCTGTAATCCCAGCACTTGGGAGGCTGAGGCAGGAGAATCACTGCAAGTTTGAGGCCAGCCTAGGCTATATAGTGAGTTCAAGGCCAGCCTGAACTACAAAGTGAGACCCTGTCTCAGAAAACCAAAAAAACCCAGCACCAAGAAATTCACAGTTTAGAAGTATATTTTCAGTATTTAACATATTACTCAGTATATTTTGATAAGTATTAATTATTTATTAGGTATATTAAGACAATCAGATATTAGTACACTGATGCCAATCTCACACTACTAAATTGCTGATTTTTGTTTTCTAGAATTCAGCATACAATTAAAATGACAACCTCCTGGAGTGATCGATTACAGAATGCTGCAGATATGCCTGCTAATATGGATAAGCATGCCCTGAAAAAGTATCGACGAGAAGCCTATCATCGGTAAGCATTTAATCTAATCTGCAGAATACCTTTCTGTTGTGGGGACTTATTCTCATTCTACAGGTAATGGAATTAATGTACAGAGAAGTTAAATAATTTACCTCAGATCATATAGTTAGTATGTGATCAAAGTCTGACTTTAACTACTAGCACAGTATTCTGTATTGCTTCAGAGTGGTGTTTTGGGGTACTGCAGATGAGACCTCGGCCTCATGTAGGGTAGGTAAGTGCTATATCACTGAGCTACATAACCAGCCTCCGTATTCCTCACACCTCCTGATATAAATCCTTCAGAGAAGAAAGTGTTCAGCTCCTAGGAAGTTGTACCAATATTAGGGTGAAGTTTTCTTTTTCTTTTTGGGGTGGGGCTACCCTGTGTTAGCCTGTCTGGCCTTAAACTCCCAGGTTTAACTGACCCTCCTACCTCACCTGTCTAGTAGCTGGGACTCCAGGTGCACCATACCCAGCTGAGAATGAAATTCTTTTTTTTTTTTTTGTACCGGGGATTGAACTCAGGACCTATGAGGCAGGCGCAGTGCCACTGAGCTACATCCCTGGCCCAGAGAATGAATTTTTAAATTGACAGTTATATAAACTGATCATAATTTTAAGTTTTAAAAATTATGTCTGCTCCATAATGTGTGTTAGATTGAGTATAACTCCAAATATTAGCAAAGTTTTCTTGTTTTGGTTTTAATTTTTATTATGTATTTGTTTACTTTATTTATTTATTTGTTGTTTGAGACAGAGTCTTGCTATGTACTTACTTAAACTGTGTAGCCCAGGTTGGCCTCAAACTCTCTGTAATCCTCCTGTCGCAGCCTCTTGAATTGTGGGATTACACACGTGTGCCACTATGCCTAGCTCTCTTGTTTTGATTTTAAAATTTATCTAAATAATTTTTCCTTTAAGTCTGCCGCTCACATCTCACGGGTGTGGGTACATGGGCTGCAGTGTGGATGTCTGTGTGTGTGTGTCTGGGTGTGTATGGGAGTCCCTTGGAAGGGACTTTCTGCAGATACTGTAAATATAAGTACCATTTTAATAAAGCATGTAAAATAAGCCAAAATAAGCTTGACTTGGATTTTATATGCAAAACTGTAAGCCAGTGCATTATGATACGGTAATAAGATTGTGCATTTGATTCAAGATGAGGAAAACTCTTGGAAATGAAAAGCAGACGCTGATTAACCAAATTGTACACATTGAACCACATTCAGTGTAACTTTAGGAAGAAATTCCACTTTTGTGGAACATTCTTAAGAGATCTGAGATTATTCAGGTAAGAGTTGATATATAAAAGCGTACATATTTTTACTTTATATTTTGATGTCAACTGAGTATATTAGAAATAATAGCACTCCAGGCACTAGTTGTGAAACAAAACAGTAAAGGATACTATACTGATGAATATTAAATTCTTCCCTTATTACTTTGGAAAGGTCCTTACTAAAAGCCCTAAATATGTCAATCATGATTTTATCATGACCATGTTATTTCTTGATTGAGGACAAGTCACACCAAAAAAGCAATTTTATTTAAGTCATCAGTTAAACAAAAGACTTCTTTTTAATATAAAATATATCAAACCCATCAAAGAAAGGGCAACTTTGAACTGCAACAATAAGCTAAAGTATGTAAAATACTACATTCTATTTAATCTTGTAGTGTTTTATGGGAAATTATCTTTGGTCAAATCTTGGATGGAGAATGTTTGTGAAGAGTTAGAGTGTTGGGAATGCTTTGTGTTTTTATGTATTTTCTTTAAAAATTTGTTAAAGTACATGTCCTCTGTAGTAAACTGATATATATATGTATATTTATGAATTATTTGAGCCTATAGTTCAATATAAACCTGTACTTGTTAATAGAGAAACCCTAAATATTTATAGGGTAAAAATGATGTGGTCTGTTAAGAAAAATGAGTAATTTTGTGTTTTGGACTTCAAATAAACTGTTCTGTAGATTAAAAAAAAATTTCCTTTTAAAGTTTAAATTGTAATTTCTTTCTATAGATTCAACTTAATGTCTGCTGCTACATTAAATAGCTAAGATACTTGGAAGTAATACATTTAGAAATCATATGTTTTTAGACAAGAATTAGAATTTTGCAATTTTAGTGAATTTATAGGATAGAAAGATAGGAGCTGTGCTAGATCCTTCTCTGCTTCTCACTCCAGGAATACCAGGAATGAGAGGAAATGCTAGTATATTAGCAGTGCTAAAATAATTCCTGACTCTAGGAAGTCTTAAGTCTTTTTTTTTTTTTCCCATTAAGTTTATTGGTACATTTTCGGTATACAATACAGTTACATTCATCATTGGGATCTTGTACCTGTACATGATATATCTTGGTTCTTATTTTTCCCCTTCCCCTGCCCTCCCTTCACCCCCTCCACCCTTTAATATTTACAAAGACTTTGTTTCCATTTTTTCTTTTTCTCATATTTTTTTCTTTTCCCTTCTTTCCTTTCCCCTACCCCTCCCACTTCCCCTACTCCTTTAGGCCTTTTCTTCCTATTTCATAAATATGTTATGAAATGATAAAGACAACCAAGTCAAAGAAAGTCAACTTGAGTCACGCTGAAAATACCGAATCAGCCCACTGCAGACAGGCAGGTCTGCAGACAGGCAGGTCTGCAGACAGGGTCCCGAGGTCATGAAGGCAAACTCTTAGCTGCACATCCCACATAAATGAAAAGAAAGTTAACACTTCAACATACAATGTCACAGGATAGACATTTCTATTCCAGAAGGTACAAAGAGGGGGATAAAAAGGAATGGGAACAAAGCAAGACCAAAATCCAGCAAGGATTAATCCAGCAAACATTAAATCCTGTAGTTCCATTGTCCAGTATCCCATGCAATCTGTGGCAAGTTGTGAACTCCAAAGGGCTTGAGTGGCTCCGCCCCCTACAGCACTTCTGGTGGTTGTAGCTCCCATGGCTAGTCTCTTTGGCCAGCTTTGCTCATTAGGAAGTCTAAGTCTTAAGACAGTGTATAAATGCTTAACTCTTTCTAGGGTAGAGGAAAAAAAGAAATTAATATTACTTTAAGAAATCTTACTTGGAATGATTAAACTAATTTATACAGGTAAGTTTTTATAAGCAGACACAAAAATAATTCTGATTCCAATTCCACTTCTGTGTAGAAAAGTTAGATCAGAATTAGGTATGTTTTTAAAAGAAAAGAAAAAAATAAATTAGGTAACATTTTATTGTTTCAGTATTAATTTTTGAAGAAAGTAATTTGGTATTGAGCCATAGTTAGTTTATAAATGGTTTTTGTTTTTTGGTGGTTTTTTTTTTGGTACCAGGGATCGAGCTCAGGTCCTTGCACTTGTGGGGCAGGCGGCGGAACCACTGAGCTAAATCCCCGGCCCTGTGATTGTCTTCTTTGTGTGAGACATGTTGGCATGTGGCATGGCAATTAAAGTGTAAAATACAGTTTATGTGTACCTGTGTAAATAAAGCACAACATGCACTACTGAGAAATATTCTATATTTTCTGTCCAATTATTTGGTTAGTTTTATGTTATAAAGTATACATTTGGTTAGGATGTAACATTTGTAGAATTAGAAACGAGCCTGAATTACCCAATAGAGAGAGATCACCTAGTAAACATTAGGTTTCTAGAAAACATCATCTAGTAAACATTCTAATTATGTTTAATATGTCATAGCTTGAATGCATTTGTTACTCACTTGGAATGATATTTCCTGGAAGATTTTAGACAGGCCACATACTGCACATTCTTCATGTAGTAGAGTGCAATCTGAACCATAGAAATGATAGAAAAAGTATCAAGGGTTTAAATTTTTAGGTCATTTCAAAATGTTTTTTAATATAAAAAATGGGATAGTTGTACTCATGTAAACATTTGTTTTCTTAAAAGTTATATATTTTAAATTGACAAAAATGTGTATACATTTATGACTTTAAACTTAAAAATATACTTTGGATTGGCCAAATAAAGGTAACAGTCATACCATTTTTGTGGTAAGAACACTTAAAATTTGCTTTAGTAAATAAGGTAGATAATACATTGTTATTAAGTGTAGTCACCGTGTTGACAATAGATTTCTCGAATTTATTCCCTTAACACCAACCCTCCCCCCTCCCCCCTCCCCCTGCCCACTTGAGACTGGATTTTGACTAAGGGCCTTTGCACTGAGCCACGTCCCCAGGCCTCTTTATTTTTTTATTTTGAGACAGGGTTTCACTAAGTTGCCCAAGTTGGGCTTGAACTTGCTGATCCTCCTGCCCCGGTCTTCCAGAGTGCTGGGATTGCAAGTGTGTGCTGCTGCACCTGACTGTTGTTTGCCTTTGTTAACTAAATAATTTAAGTAGAAACCATTTAGAAGAGATTTATTTCAGTTTTCTAGTTAAGTCAATTTGTATTGTTTCCAGGCCTTTTTTTTTGGTACTGGGGATCGAACTCTGGACCTTGCCCTTGCAAGACAGGCAATGGAACCACTGAGCTAAATCCTCGGCCCTTTGTTTCCAGGCCTTTTTGTTAGACATTTGAGTTGATAATTTTTCTTTGGCTAAATTAGGCTGTAATGATCATTATCATAAACTGTGCATTGTATGTGATGGTTTCAAATTTTCTTTTAGAAGATACTAAATATTTTTTAAGTAAATGCACAACAGACTTATAGATTTTTTCTTTCTTTTGTGTTCAACTTTATATGTTTTGTCAGTACATATACTTATCACACCTTCATCCTTTTTCTTTCCCTTCCCTTTCCTCCTTCCCCTCTCCCTCCATCCCTAGATCTCCTTATCTGCAAAAGGTCTACCTCCCTGTTTCCTATCATCTTTTATTTTGTTTTAAAAATTATTTATACTTTGGGTTTCTCATATAAGAGAAAACATGCAATATTTATCTATGTCTGATTTATTTTACTCACCATTATTGTCTCAGGTGCATTCATTTTTCCACAAAGGACTCACACTCATCTTTTTTATGGCAGAGTAGTACTCCATTGCATGTATAT